TTCTATTGCCTATTTAGATTTTTAATACCCCAAATATGAGACTTTTTTAGTGCAAAAAGGTCACACAATAATTTACGCGCATTAATTTGCATGATTTGTTCAATGATAAATATTATTCAAACTGTTTTACGTAAAATAAGATTATGTTTATTGTCATGGTTACATCTGATAAAATATGATAACGGTTAAAGTGATTAACCAAAGAGTTACAATTTAAGTGCAAAAAGGTCAACTTAATTGTACCGTAGATCAGTTAGATGCACACTGACCCCCCATTTTCTCTGCGATTTTGAGTCATACTATATGAGTACTTATCCAAAATATACTTCTCAAAAAATCCTTGATATAACAAATTTCACGAGTGACATACCTTAATTTACTTAAATTTATTTAAATTAAGTAAAAAAGGTCCATTTTTATTGCAAAAGGAGTTGTAAATGAAGTAAAAAATCCTGGACTTTCATTTGTCGTAAGGAATGCATGTATAAAGTGTTGAAAAGTAATCCGTTTTGATTATTTTGATAAAATGTTTTGATTTTATAAAATTTTATGTATTCTATTTTTCTTAAAAGTTCTTTTGAATCTTTAAGTATCCACATCTGATTAAAACCAGTTTTCAAATATATGGTTATAAAAGTTACAATAATTGTATAAAATTCTATCACAGACAACCAAACGGAGAGTCAGCGAATATGATAATTGTGTACATTCACTCTCTGGAAGCTCATGTTTATTGATATAATTCAGATCATTACAGACATGCAAGAAAAAGTATTACTTACATTAATTAAGTTTTGTTTATATTTCTTAAGAATATTGAAGAAAAAAAGCTTAATAATAGCCTGAACAACTTTTTCTTTAAGCCATTATATATTATCTTACACTTCTTTCTATCGTGTAAAATTGGCTCGTCCTTTGTTTGGATTTCATTTATTCTTTCGTTTACTATATAGCCTTGGTTGGCTTTGATAGCCACTTTCGGCTTTTAGTTTTCATCTTGTTGCGCTGAGAATTGCAAGTTACTGTAATATTTGTTTCCACCACTGATGACAGATTCTATACATGTAAATATTAATTATGTTTCATGGAAGAAAAAAATGCTATGCATATTCATACAAGATGTGACTATAACTATCATTAAATTAAAAAAAAAAACGCTTTATTAAAGATAAGCATGGAGTTGGTCTATTATAGCAAATTTCGTAGTATTTTAGAAATGTTAACCAGATTTTCATTGCAAAACAGTTAATACGGCAATTCAGTTGATATATTTAATTTACTTCGGTATTTAATTTTGATTTGATATGTTCAGTTGCAATATTTAATCAACTCTAAATTGCTATACAGCTCGTTAAATTATTTCCCAGGACATTCTCAAAAACGTTAAATTTGACTTAAAACAAAAGGAGGATGTGTACAAAATGAATGTATGTTTCTGAAAATGAATATCCTTTGTTTTTTAAATGAACAGTTACAAATGCAAACGTAAACGGATGTAAAATGAAGCGAGTACAAGCTGTAGCATAACGACTTACCACGCAATATCTGTTTTTGATGTATCTTCAGGATATTCTGACGGATTTCATTTCGTTTCTGAAAACGATTATACATGTAGCTGACATTTATTTTGAACAACCTCCTCCACAGGATTACAACACGGAACATATTGTAGTAAATAAAATGTCATAATTTTATTGAAAATTGGCTTAAATCTATAATTTTTGTCTTATCGATTTTTATTTCTTTCTCAATTTTTATTTTAAAATTATCTTCTTTTTTTTCTTGAAACTATTATAGACGTTTCAGTTGCTGCATTAAAAATGGTAATCCTATTCTACTTGTTTTCGTTATCTCCACTTCCCTTCGAAAAAAAAATTAAAATTCAAAGAGAGTGAAAAACAGAAAATTCAGACTTTACAGCATTATTTTTTTTTTATGCTCCATGACAATATAAGGTAAATATGACGTCAAAAATTAACGATAATTCGCCCATTTAATAATTTTTGAAAAAAATAAGGTATTTTACGGCGATAATTTGATTGAAATATATCAAGCGCAGGTTTACTCTGATTTGAACGTTTTTATTGTATATTTATACAAAAGGATTGGATACAAGTTCTTTCAACTTAATAGATCGATCCTCTCCTTGTTATACAAACAATGAATACAATTTGATTGTCATACTATATTATACATATTGAAATCAAAGACACTGTTTTGAATTAGAATTTATCTGATTCTCGAATAAATTTCCGGACAGTAGAGAAAATTTGAATATTTGCATCGGTAGACAACGATTCATTTCCACATAATAAAAATGAATGTCTATTTTGTTTTGCTGGTTAAGTTGAAGAATAGTGTTTATTAAGTCATTTCTTGGACGTTCATATTTTGGTTTGCTCTGACTCCATCTTTGGATAAAATGTGTAGAATGATTATATCAATGAAATATCTGAAAATGATTCGTGAGCAAGCAACTCTATAAAAACTTAAGTCAAAATTGAACATAATTTGTGCATATTTTTCCCCTTTTTAAAAATAACGAGAAATCTCAAACGTTTGTGATGTGATGACAAAAAAAATTTCCCAAATCAATTGTATATACAGTCAAACCTGTATTAAGCAGTCACCTGCGGGAACCATTAAAAGTGACCTTTATAGAGAGGTGACCTTTGAAAAGAGGTTCATCTTTTTTCAAGAAAAATTCTTTTCCAATTTATGTAAGTTCTATGTTTTAAAATACTACATCATATAATATTAAAGAAAGATGTGTTTTGGACATCAATGGTCTCAGATTTTTTTAAATTTAAATAGTCTCAAGATTAAATTCAAGCCACATTTGATGACTCCAAAAAAATATATTGAGTCTAATATAGGACATTGAATTATTCTTCCTCCAAACAACAACATAACTTTCTTTTATTATAAGATTACATTATCATGTTGTGCCATGAATAAAATATAATGTATTTTTTATCCAAACTGCCTCTAAAAACAAGTTTAGTTAGTCCTGATAATTATATGTTCAATAATACATAAATAGTAGCGTAATAAACAGACAAGTCATAATATTCTCAGTTTATCAAGGCAGTGCAAAATACAAATTGATATAAAATTTACAGGTGTTGTGAGCAAGGAAGCGTGACTAATCCAAACGGTCGTCTCACCAAGCTGAAAATCAGGAGATAATCAGGACACATTGAGTACTTATACAAAACAGTTAAATAGGGTTTCTACAAATAATACGTTACCTATGTGTTAAAAACGGCCTGCCATGCGTTTACACAATTACACCTATCGGAGTAGTGTAAAAACCAGAGTTCTGGCGCAGATACTTAACATGGAGCTCCACAGTGGAGCTGTGGAGCCATTGACGTCATAAATAACCATGGAAACAAACACACCCTCTTTACTCATGAATGATTTAAAACAATTGGTCATCATCAAAAAAGAGATCGATGACCCCGTGACGTCAATGATTATTATATCTTGAAACAATAGGTCATAGAAATGATGATAAAGAATGGAACAAAAGCAATTTCTTAATTTAGACTGGGAAATTCCGCAAGGTCATGGGGTCATTGTTGAAGGCAACAAAAGAAATAATCACCATGATCAGACGAGACCCTTAAATCGATCAAGTCAATAAAGGGAACGCAAAGGGCCTTTTGTGGTCCCTAATGGGTTTTTTCCATGACGTAAAACTCTGTTGTACTATCGATTAATGGTGTATTGAAAATGTGAACAATGGAGGTTTAAAAATGGGACAGTGTTGAATGAGACATTTAAATGGGGCATCAGTCAACCGAAACATTACAGGTAGAAACATGTCTCGATGAACACGGGCATTTAAATGCTTTAAGCATCAGCACTCTTCTATTCAATTTATACATTATAGTGATTGTAGTGAAAGACAAATATAAATACGGCATCTTTGTACCGATACACTACAGGTATACACGTCATAAATAAAGATAAGTACAATTCAATGTCTACTACATCCTCATGATAATCTAAGAAGGAGAACAGGAGTAACAATACTACTCTTAAATCTGACGAAACTTTAAAATAAACAATAAAATAAGACCACAATTGTCATACTTTTATCAGCATTTTCCTATACTAAGAGCTAATATGAATTTATTGGAAGTTAATTTCATGCCATATAGTGATTATCAAGTATACATTGTAAATGAATTCATTATCATATACAAAGGAAGCTGAATAGTTTTGACAGACAGTCAAATATTAGAAATTTGTACAGATCTATAAATAAATGGTTTGGAATTTCTAAATGGAAAATTACAAATTTTAATGGAAAGTTACTCGGGTAATGACGTTTAAAATGAGGTAATAACGAAGAAGCCAATCAGACGACTTGATTTTCAATTATCACCATGGAGATTGTTACAGTATAAATTGATGAACTGCATACATATAAATCTAATGTGTCACATCTGCGAAAGAAGTAACACCTTATAAAGTGTTTAAGAAGAGTTTGCATTGTGGTTCAATTGTATGGAGTGGGAAATTATATCTAAATGAGGTAGGAACCATTTTATTAACTTATGAAAAAGTAATTAAAAGGATGCGTTAAATAATGCAATTTCTTGTGTATGTGCAATGTAAATGAAAAAAAAAATATGAACAAACCTTAACTCACTGCAGTGAAGTTATTTTAGTTAGAAGGGGGGCTTAAAAATATATGCACAAAAAATCTTCAGACAGCTGTTTAATGTTTGGGTTTTCCAGATGAGTAATTTCGCAACGTTTCTGTTAAAAGGTCTCGGCCGCTCAATTTCGCCATTCAATTGTGAGATTTAAAGGCTTCATAATCGAACGGTCGAGTAAACAATTTTACTAGGTTTTTTTTTTCAATTGCATTAGCAAGCTAGGCATAGAATTAGTTTATTTAATCATTAGGAAATAATTATTACAAATGTATTTGTCAAATCTATGAATGTTACCCTTTTACAGGGAAAATCATGCCTGCTGATCAGTTTCTCTGTGAGGATTGTGGAAAGTATTTCACTCGAATATCGAATTTACATCGACATCAGCGAACTACACATGGGTTAGAATCCTCACGTTGTCCAACATGCGGTAAAAGCTTTAACAGAAGGGACAGCTATTTACGTCACATTAGAAGTCACTCCAGAATTTCAGGTCTGGAATCCCAACATGGCAATCCTGAAATGGGAGATCATCCACAAGCCTCGAACAACATCGACAAAGAAAATGTAAACCCTAATTCCAAAATTCAACTTGGCAGCGGAGATTCATCAATTAGCCCTAAAGGTAGCATTAGTGTTTTTTTCTAATATTATTCACATTATTATTGTGTAATTTTCAGACATGAAATTTATCTCTGATTATTTATTACTATTCAGCTGATGACACAAATGAATGTATCACCGAGGAAGATGCCATTGAGGGAAATTTAAAGAAAATATTTCTAGAGGCTACCGAAAAAAAGCAAATACGATCCTTTGACCTTCTTAAAAATCAAAGAAGAGACAATCAGATCAATTCTGAAAGAAGAACGCCTCAAAAGAAAAAGAATGAAATTTTACCTTACCTTACAAGTTCGTTTCACCAAGACCAGAGGGGATCAAATTGAGCATGCTGAACCCTTTTTCCACGGAAGATGTCACATAGTTCTCAAAAACGAAGACATCGAGTCTGCACTAAGAGAGAGCATCATGAAAATTGTTAACTCTTTTGTTGAATACCAAAGAGAATGTAGTAACTGGGCACTTGATAAAGTTCTGGGAGTCAACATCCATATCGTCCAATATAATCCGATTAAAGGTTCGAGTTTCCTACCGCTGCCACCTAAATTAGCAAACAAGAAAGCCATCATCAATGTTCAGAATTCTGATCAAAAATGCTTCATGTGGTCAGTGTTGGCATCTCTTTACCCTGCCACAAAAGACCCTCAGCGAGTTATAAATTATGTACAACATGTGGATAGACTCGATTTTACAGACATTCCGTTCCCGGTTCGAATCGGAGACATTCCTAAATTCGAGAAAAGGAACAACATCTCTGTGAACGTGTTTGGGTATGAAAAAAGTGAACTTTATCCCCTTCATCTCACTAAAGAAAGAGGGTTAAAACATGTTGATCTCCTTGTAATTTCCAAAGAGTCAAAGCATCACTACTGTTGGATCAAAAATTTCAACAGATTGATGGGAGATCAAAACGGAGATAATAACCAATATTTCTATTGTCATTACTGTCTCCATGGTTTTACAAAAGAAAGTCTTCTCAAGAGACATGTCCCTAACTGCCAAGTACATGGTGCGCAGCGTACCGAAATGCCAACTGAGGAGGACAAATGGCTGAGGTATACAGATGTATCTAAGCAACTCAAAGTTCCGTTTGTGATCTATGCTGACTTTGAGAGTGTTCTAGAGAGGCATTATGGATGTCAACTGGATCCCAGCAAGTCCTCTACCATCAAGTTAGCTCGTCACGTACCGTCTGGTTTTACTTACAAAGTTGTAGGCATTTCACCAGAAACCGTTGAAAATCACGTGACGTATCGCGGCCCCGATGTCGTTGACAAGTTTATTGAGCACATGGTCAACGTAGAAGAACGCCTCGTGAAGGCTTTTAAGAACCCAAGGCCGATGCATTTGTCCGACGAAGAAATTGCTGCTTTCCAATCAGCCACCCATTGTTGCATTTGTAGCCAAGTGCTGGGGGATGACATTGTTCGTGATCACTTCATGTGACGGGGAAATTCCGGGGTGCTGCTCACAGCAGCTGTAATCTAAACTTTAGACTGAGAGAAAGAATCCCAGTATTCTTTCATAACCTCAAGGGTTATGATGCTCATCACATTATGACCGCCACTGGCAAAATCAAGCATAAAAAGATCAGCTGCATCCCCCAGAATCATGAGAAGTACATTTCATTTTCGCTAGGGAAACTAGACTTCGTAGACACATTTCAATTTTTGTCAACTTCCCTTGACAAACTCTCTGCCAATCTCGGAAAAGAAGGCATCCATAAGTTTCCTCATGTACGAGCTTACGTTGCCTCCTCTCATCCTGGAAATGAGCAATCAAAACTCCAGTTGCTCAGTAGAAAAGGAGTTTATCCGTATCGATACATGAACTCCTTTAAAAGATTTCAGGAGTCGACACTCCCACCCCAACGGGCTTTCTACAATGATCTAGACGGAAAGACCGTGTCTGATAAAGACTATGTACATGCACAGTGGGTGTGGGACGTTTTTCAAATTAAAAATTTAGGACAATACCACGATCTGTACATGGAGACAGACGTGCATCTTCTCGCAGACGTGTTTGAAAATTTCCGAAGTCTTTGTCTTGAAATGTACGGTCTCGATGCGGCTCATTTTTACACGGCCCCGGGATTAGCTTGGCAGGCCGCTCTGAAAATGACGGGCGTGGAGCTCGAGTTATTAACAGATCCGGACATGCATCTTTTCGTGGAAAAAGGGCTCAGGGGTGGTATTGCTATGATTTCTAAAAGGTACGCGAAAGCCAATATTCCCTATCTAAACGACTACGATCCGCATCAACCTTCAAACTATCTGATGTACTTAGATGCTAACAATCTGTACGGGTGGGCCATGAGTCAACCTCTACCAACTCATGATTTTTGTTGGCTTACCTCTGACGAGATAGAGGGGGACACTGGCTATATCTTTGAAGTAGATCTGAAATATCCCTCGGAATTGCATGACTGCCACAGTGACTATCCGTTAGCTCCCGAATCATTTAAAATAAAACCAGAGATGCTTTCACCATATCAGAAAGACCTTTTAACTAGGCTTGGAATGAAAGATGGCTCTGCCACCAAGTTAGTTCCAAATCTTTTTGATAAAGAGAAATATGTTGTCCACTACAGAAATTTGCAACTCTACCTGGCTTTGGGAATGAGACTGACCAAAGTCCATCGGGTACTGTCTTTTAAGCAGAGCCCTTGGCTGAAAACTTATATCGATTTCAATACGACAATGCGAAAAGGGGCCAAAAACGAGTTTGAGAGAGATTTTTTCAACCTCATGAATAACAGTGTTTTCGGGAAGACCATGGAAAATCTGCGGAAAAGGGTGGACATTCAACTCGTTCACAAGAAGAAAAGACTCTTAAAGCTTTCGGCTAAACCTGGGTTTAAATCCTTCAAGATCTTCAACGAAGATCTTGCTTCTGTAGAGCTTACCAAACAAAAGTTGGTCCTCAACAGACCAATTTATGTGGGGTTTTCCATTTTGGAACTTTCCAAAGTCTTGATGTACGATTTCCACTACAATTACATCAAGGAAAAGTATGGTAATCGCGCCGCTCTCTGCTTTACAGACACAGACTCTTTGTGCTACGACATATCCACCGAGGATGTGTATGTAGATATGATGGAGAGTCAGCATTGCTTTGATTTCAGTGATTACCCCGTAACACATTTTCTTCATAGCAATGTCAACAAAAAGGTCTTAGGTAAAATGAAGGATGAATGTCAAGGTCATATCATGCGAGAATTCGTAGGTCTAAAGCCCAAGATGTACAGTTTCATTTACGAAAAGAAAATAGTTCAAAACGAGAACGAATTTATTTGTCAAGAAGAAAAGAAAAGAGCCAAGGGCGTGAAAAAGGCAGTCGTGCAATCGAGCATACAACACGAAAACTATAAAAATTGTCTTTTAAAAAAAGAGTTTCAGATGGAGTCGATGGTGACGTTCAGATCATTTAACCACCATATATACACTGTTGTTCTAAATAAAACCAGTCTGAGCCCCTTTGACGATAAGAGGCACATTCTTCAGGACGGTATTCACACCTTAGCTCATGGTCATTTTAAGACTTAAGATGTTTTGTGCATTCTTATTATTATTATCATAGGTTTGTTATGAAACAGGTTACGTGTCCATTATAGAATATAAGACATAAGATGTATAGTGCATTGTTATTATTATCATATGTTTGTTATTAAACGATTTACGTGTCCTATGTATAATGCATAAAAAGTCTGTATTACATGTATTCAGTGTACACAGAATTGTGAATAAATGCATGAAAAACAAGAATATTTTGTTTTAATTAAACACGTTCAGCAAAGGATCCCGGGGGGCACCGCCGCGGATCTTTAGGTTTCCGGAGTCCAAGGATTCCGGTGACCTTGGATTCCGGAGTTTAAAGACGCGGGAAACTAGGATTCCGGAGTCCATGCATTTCAGAGGAATTGTTGGAGGTGTGCAACTTTTTCTAATAACATATTCACTTACAAACAATATGCAAATGAGATCACGTGGAAAACATCATAAAAATAAAAAAATAAATTATTTTTGCCATAATATAGGAGGACGTCAAAGGGTTAACATGTATCCTTGCAATCTGAGCTCAAGTGTATACGTCTGGCCTGATAGTTTGAAAAGACATGTGAAATATAAACACGGTGTGCAGGAATCCGAAGTGTCACAACAACAACAGCAACAACAACAGCTGTCCTTGCAACAACTACCTTTGCAGCAACAACAACAGCTGCCTTTGTTACTGCAACAACAACAGCAGCAGCAACAACAACAGCAGCAACAACAACAACAAGAAGAGTTTATGTTTCAACATCCTTTTACGGCTAATGTGTCAGGACCCACCTGCTCCGGCAAGACTTATTTTGTAAAAACGTTGTTGCAACATTGTATGAGCAAGATTTCCCCTCCTCCGGAGAGAATCTTGTGGCTCTATAAGCGATGGCAACCCCTATATGACATCATCAAAGCCACTGTGTATCCCTCAGTCGAATTTATACAGGGCATTCCATTAGATCTGGAGCAAGATTCGTTTATTCACCCTGGAACAAGGAATCTTGTGATACTAGACGATCTCATGTCTACGACGGCCAAAGATTCTAGAATCAACGAGTTGTTTACGGAGGGTAGTCATCACAGAAATTTGTCAGTTGTGGCTATCAATCAAAATCTGTATTACAACAAAGATCCCACCCAGAGACGAAATTGCCACTATCTGGTCCTGTTTAACAATCCTGTGGATAGACAGCAAGTCATGACTTTGGCTCGACAGATGTATCCCGAAAATCCTCAACACCTGTTGAGACATTTTAAAGAAGCCATTTCCAAGCCTTATGGATACCTACTGATCGACTTGAAGCCGACCACACCCGAACATCTGCGCCTGCGCACAAACGTCTTGAATTCTATAAAATCGCAACCTTCAGATGTCATCTCTCATACTCACAACGACACGCCTAACATTCAGACGCATTCAGAGCTAGATCAATTAACAACCTATCATTTTGCGCAGCATTCTTCAGCTGATCAATTGCAATTCCCAGAAACAGCACCTACCAATCCCGATCTAGACGAGATGCCTTCCTGTGACGAATGTGGTCTTGTGTTCGAAAGCATGCATGACCTCCAGAGACATGTAAAAAGATGGTGTCCCGAAAATTTTTCTCTTAAACGAAAGGGAGACGATGTGGAAATGGAGGAGGGCCAACCACCTGCAAAATGGATCCCATTCGAACCCACAGAGATGAAAGAAGATGAAGATAACCGCGAACATGAAGTTTTTAACGTTCTCATGGATAAAGCCAAAGAGAACAACGAGACAGAATGGGATCAAAAGTACGATAAATACATCAAAGAGGGATTAACCCGGGAAGAGGCCAGAGCAAAAACCGAGGAAAAGTTGAAGTCAAAAGACTTACTAACGTTCGCTAATAACTATGCCACCCTAATCCAATACATTCTACAATTAAAACACGGTTCCATTCATGCCACTATCATGGACGATGTAGCCGAGTTCCTTTCTAAGGGTTACGGTGAACGCAAGTCCATCAGAATGGCTCTTAATAAAAATCGTCATCTGCTCGACGAAATGTGGGACGACGAAAGTGAGATGGAAACTGATGATCAGGACGACAGTGAAACAGAAGAGTACGACAGTGAGGAATCCGAAGGAAATGCTTAATTAACTTTTGAGAGAAAAAACAGTTTTAAATTACTCTGCTTTTTTTAATATTCATTTATCAATACATGTATTATATTTTATAATGTTATATTGCAAGTTTTTTTCGTGTGAATAAATGAAAAAAAAACAAAAAAACAAGTGTGATACTTGATGTAAGAGTAAACAATGTAACTCAATACATTGCATTTGAAAACTGATGCATACTACGTTTTATATGATTTATTTTCTTATGCATTTCTATAAAATGACTGTATCTTATGAAAACTTATATCAATAAAATATAAAAAAAAATACCTCAGGTGTGTTGTTTTGTGTGACATAAAACCATTTATTTCTTGATCATGTGACTCAAACAGTATATATCTGTTAGAGGATCACATGTATGACCCATTTCTCAGTCGTCAGTCAAGGAAGTAACATGTCTTGGGAGGATTATCTCAAGCAAATTTATTACGACCCTGTTAATGCTGGAAGTTTTTCGGGACCAGACAAACTGTATCGATATGTACGCAAACAAGGAAAATATGTCCTGAGCAAATACAAGATCAGGAAATGGTTACAGAGACAAGAATCGTACAGTCTACAAAGACCTGTTCGAAGGTATTTCAAAAGAAATAAAGTCATCACCTTTGGCATTGATGATCAGTGGGATGCAGATCTCATGGACATGTCCAAATATGCCAAGCAAAACGATGGGGTCACTTTTGTTCTCTTTGTTATAGATATTTTTTCCAAGTTTCTGTGGATGCGCCCTCTAAAGGACAAAAAAGGTCAAAGCGTCACTTCAGCCTTTTCAGACATACTTCAAGAAGGTCGACGTCCTACACGAATCCGTACAGACAAGGGACAGGAATTCCGATCCCGAGCCTTTAATGCTCTATTGAATGATCAAAACATCCATCATTTATACGCTCAGAACACTGAAGTCAAAGCCAATTATGCAGAGAGGGTGATTAAAACAATCAAATCTAAAATATATAGATTCATCACGTTCAAACAAAACTATCGCTATGTGGATCACCTTCAAGACTTTGCCATCAATTATAATGCCACATACCACAGAACCATAGGCATGCCTCCCAAAAATGTGACCAAGTCGAAAGAGACGAACTTATGGTGGAAAATGTATTGGCCAAAGGAGACTCCTATAATACCAAAGTCTAAGAGAGTGAGGAAACCTTTCAGATTTAAGATAGGAGATCGTGTGCGGATTAGTCATCTACGAAACGTCTTTACTCGCGAATATGATGAAAAGTGGTCAGGGGAGATATTCGTCGTATCCGAGAGATATTTAAGAGGAGGATTGCCCATATACAGACTCAAAGACTATTCAAACGAAGAAATCAAAGGAACTTTTTATCAAAATGAATTGCAAAAAGTGGACGTTCGTGAAGATGACGTGTTTAAAGTAGAAAAGATCATAAAAACAAAAGGCCGAGGAGACAATAAACAATACCTTGTAAAATGGTTACACTGGCCTTCCAAATTTAATTCATGGGTTAATGTCAATGATGTACAAACTTATAGCTGAATCTTTCCAAACTGTATACTTAATATCATCATCATAAAAGCAAGTTTGTGAATGAAATTATTTATGTATAATTAATGCATATGTCTATAAAAAAAATGAATACATGTATGTATTGTTTTTGCTTCATCTCAACAATAAATGTGAGATTAAAATCAGTTTGGTTGTTAATATTTTCTATGAATTGAGTTGTACATATTTTATTGGCTAAGAGTCAAAAGGATTCTTAAATCCTAGTCCTCCATTGGACTATTATTTGAAGGTTTTGTGTTCTTACTTTTGTTTATAAAAATAAAAAAATTAAGAATTCGTTCGTATGTCATAAAAGTATTCCCGTAAGTTTTAAAGCCTCGTGTACCTTTGATAACTTTTTCACCTGCAAATTTTTCGGTTGACTGATGCCCCATTATAATGTCTCATTCAACACAGTCCCATTTTAACCCTCCATTGTTCACATTTTCAATACACCATTAATCGATAGTACAACAGAGTTTTACGTCATGGAAAAGCCCTTTAGGGACCACAAAAGGCCCTTTGTGTTCCCTTTATTGACTTGGTCGTTTTAAGGGTCTCGACTGATCATCGATTTATTTCTTTTGTTTCCTTCAACAATGACCGTCATTTATTTCCATGACCTTACGGAATTTCCCATTTTAAATTAAGAAATTGCTTTTGTTCCATTCTATACAATCAATTCTATGACCTATTGTTTCAAGATATAATACTCAGTGACGTCATGGGATTATCGATCTCTTCTTTTGATGATGACCACTTGTTTTAAATCATTCATGAGTAAAAAGGGCGTGTTTGTTTCTATGGTTATTTATGACGTCATTGGCTCCACAGCTCCACTGTGGAGCTCCATGTTAAGTATCTGCGCCAGAACTCTGGTTTTTACACTACTTATCGGAGTTGGGCATGTCAAACGTGAACTTATAATTAGGAAACACCTAATTATTGTATTCATTAATAGATAAATAAGAATGTCTTGTTTTTTAATATCACTCAGAATTTTTTAAACCAGATTAAGATTCTCGTAAGTCCGTTTTCCTGATAACCTTTTCGGTCACTAGCACCCTTGTTTAGTTTTGTTAAAAACAAATTAGATATCCAATATTTTAAATGGTTTTAATAAGGCCAATTATTTTTTCCATGATCTCGCTACACAAGACCAATTATTAACATTAGTGACAAAAATTGGGTGTCACCTGACTTTAGATCTGGTTACGTGATCGGAAAAAATGGCCGCTATATACGAGGTAAAACGGCGATTTTACACGAAATTTGATGACCGCTGACCGCGTTACGCAGGTGACCGCTTAATAGAGTTACATTATATAGGAAAATTCA